CAACAAAATTGATAAAATATTTATTTTATTATGTACAATAATACACTTTATAAAATTCAACGTAAAAAATTTTGATTTATCAATTATTTAAAACATATTTGGCTTATTATATCGCATATAATATTTGATAAATTATTAGTTCACAAAAATAAATATTTCTTAAATGTCAAATGAGTATTACATAAATGAGATTTTTTTAAAACAAATGAGATTTTTAAAAAAAAGGAGAAACATTTCTTCAAAGTCTGTTAAATGGCGCTTTTAAGTATAATGAAAAGGAATGAAATAACAATTTTCAAAATAATAAATATGTATCTTAAATGAAATTTCTGCAACAAATAAACAACTACAAAATTAATTTGTAAGGATAATTTGCATAAATTTTATGAATGAATGTACAATTTTTTTAAAATTGTATTTGTAGAGTAAAGAATGCACATTATTAATTTATAAATATGAAGTACTTTCTACAAAAATATGAATATATATTTTTATTAAAAAGACAAACTCAAATATTTTTAATACATTTTTTTGCTATTAATCTAATTTGAAATTTTTACTGATATACAGGTATCGCAATTGTTTCAAATTTCCTGTGATTAGATAGTGAATTTCAATATAAAAAAGTATTATACCAATCACAGTGTAGTTTTATGTGTATTTTATATCCTTGAAAGAAATGTTTTACAAAAATGTCAAATTTACTGTGTTTTAATATATTATGGGTCACAGAAATGTATCCATATAGCATGAATCGTAAAGTATTTTTAAAAATGTATGTAGAATATTTTTAAAGTTATACTACGTGTGTTTATATATTACTGCTTTAATTTGCATAATTCATCTACAATATGCTAACTTCTAAATGATAATAAAGCAACAAAATTACTTTATGATATTCAAAATTAATCTGAAGATACTAATATCACGTTTAACTAACAAAAGAAATACAATAAAATTCTGATATAAATTCGAAAACTTGCAGAATATGTACGGTTAACTAATATATATGAACAATAACAAAGCTAAACATGAATTAGAGCGTAATTTAAAAAGAATAATATAGTGTCACGTTTATCTTTGATTATTAAAAGACACTCTTAAATCATAGGTTCTTGACCAGGGGTCAACGGATTTGATGTTCATTGGCTTGATTCAATTACTCCATGATCTAAGGGCTGAGAAATCATATTTTCAATATAATATTTCTTATGTGAATTCCTACAATAAATTCTATTTGTTACAATAGCCTGTGATTACGAATAGAAATCACAAATTGTTACCAATTGTAGAATAATTTCTTTCACGATATTCATCATTATTCGCATTGACAAGATGTGTACAGTAAAATTGAATTTTTTTATACTTTATAATATATTTAACTCGCATATAAAAAATTTAATGTGTACATAAAATTGAATTATTTGAATTTTATTTTAAACATTTAAAAAATAACGGTATGAAGGCCTATTGTCTTAATCCTACTGGCAACAGGCGTCTGTGGCCTTCACCTTACTGGCCAAAAACACCCATCGCTTTTATCTTCCAAAAAAATAGGCCTATAGCCTCCATCTTACTGGTGAAAGGCGCCCTTGGCCCTTTATCTTACTGGCAATAGAGAAGCATCGCCTTAATTTTTCGAAAAATAGGCCAATAGCCTCCATCTTACTGGCAAAAGACGCCTGTGGTTTTCATCTTACTGGCAAAGAGGCAAATGGTCTTCATTGTACTATCGAAAGGAGCTCATGTCCTTCATCATACCAGCAGTATATCACTTATTAATGTACTTTGTGTTACAACAGAGGGACAAGTCAATCTTTTAATTCGTTGTTTGTTATCTACAGAAACAAGCATGCTTTAAATAAATGCACTATGCTTTATTTTTAAATAAATGCACTTAAATCAATTCATTTTAAATGTTCAGCATCATTATAATAAATTTCATATTCTTAAACAAATTTGAAAATTTATTTTTAATTCAATGAAAACTTTTCACCTAATCGTTAATTTATTTCAAAAACAATTTAAAACTTTTAAATTTTATAATTTAGTAAAGAGTTTTATATTAAGTCTTTTCAAGGACTATTAAATTTATATAGAAATATTTGCAAGTCTGTAGACATCATAAGCATATAACACTTTGCGAAATATTTTTAAGCATCTTTAACCTATTTGAACAGTTCCACTAAACAATCTTCAACAATTTAAAGTTCAATATCAATATCTCTTTTTTAAAAAAAGTAATTTTCAAGCATCTGATAAAATAATTGAGTTTAGGGAACATTAATTTCCTTAATATTGAACTATAAACAATGATGTAATTAGATTCTTGATACGATAAAGTTTCTTATTAGCTTTAGAACGTCTGAGACTTTTCAGTGCTAAAGTATGTTCTCTCGTATACTTTAGCAAATATTGATTATGAAACATCCTCTTGTAACACCATCCATGGAAAGTATGAAACACATTTTACCAGTTATATAGAATTAATGTTTGTCCATTTTTAAATTTGACATTTTCGAAGTGATTTATTACAAAAAACTAAAGTACTTCATTTCATTTTTAAGAAAAATTCAAAAGGGTTTTGAAAAAATGAGCTCAAAAAATTTTTGTTTATAATTCACAGATATTATTTGGGAATAGACACTTATGTTTTACTCTGAATTTTTACTTTTTACAATATTAAAAAAATTAAAACTCTGAGATGGTAAAAATTTATTTAACCAGCCATCTGATTCTTTAATCTTTGCTTTAACAGGATAAAACAGAAATTTCACAGTTCGCATTTTCTAAGGAAATTAATTCTAAAAGCAGCAAAAATAAATCATAATAAAACAAAATCATAATTATTTTTAAAATTCTAATTTTTTTACTCCTTCCATAACTAAGAATAACATGTAGGAGATTTAGTGCGGAATGTCAAACCATTAGGATCAAAGAGCTTTGCAAGTGACATCATAGTTCAATTAAACAGACTTTTCAAGTCCATCATCATGCTCCATTTAGGTAGGGGCATCTTTATGATTGAGCATTTTGGCACAAGCTGAGAAACTCCTCACCTCCAGTTGGAAAATTTCAGGTCCTCTTCTTAATGAATTTATAAAAAAAAATGGTCATAGGACATGATATCGCAAACCCCGATTAACAGACGAAAATATCATACAGGTTACGCCGACTACAGTTAGGCAGGGTATGTGGTTCCTGCATGATGGTGCACCATCCCACTGCGTAACCATCTCCATGCTAAATATCCTGGGAGGTAGATTAAACACTCCAGATTTGTTGATTAGTTTCTACACTTCCTAAATTCTATTCCAGTGGACTTTAAATGGATCCTTGGATGACAAATCAAAGCACTCGTTTATAAACACTGGAGAATCTCATAGTCATTGTTGTGGAAGATATCACCAATTCACCCTATATCTTCAAGCGCATCCCTCAATTGCCTGCTCAATGACGTTTGCAGAATGGAACAGCTTCTGAAATTATTTTTCTTTGTAACTTTCTGGCATCGTCCCTGGACAACAGGATATTTTGTAATCATATTTCTGTATTCATCATTGTCTTTTTTTGCTCCACATCCTCCTTGCACAGGTGTTTTTTGTGGTTTTCACTCATTAAACATGGTTTGCGATGTCATGTTATATGGTTACCATACTATCGTTTCTCTGAGTTTGTCACATAGTTCTGCTTTTTCTTTTTTGTCGCCACTACGTTATTTTAGCCTATATAAAATTGCCTTTTTGGCATCATGTAAACTTCAAAGCATGATATAAATTTCTTCTTATTGTATTGCTTGTTGTTCCATTGCGTTAATAAGATCCTGCATTTGATGCCATTTTAAAATTGATGTCAATTATGTTAACTGAGAGTGGACAAAGATGATTCTTGGCAAAGTTCTCGAAATAAGATGTGGCACACAAAATGATACTTGCGAAGTTGAAATGATTACTCGAAGATCTTATACTTTTATAAAATTCAAAAAATTGGTTATAAACATTTGCATCAATCTCGTATAATGTAGATGCCACAAATGATGTAACAAATCGATGCTATGTTTTAGCGCATTGAAGACTGAAGAAATGTATCATTATACCAGGAATTAATATAAGTCATCTTACATTTTTTATTGATAATTCGATAATGCGTCATGATTGTGAGAAAAATGAGAACTTCCAAAAGCAATTTTAACAAAACAAGCAAGGCAATCGGAGCTGTTAAAAACGAGGTCTTTTCAAGTTTCCTGATCGCCAATAATTGTTGTTGAAAGCGTACGGATTAAATGTCACGAATATTCGACGCCATAAAAGGTGATATTTATGAATTTGGCGCGTTTTTTTATGATGGTACATCCACAAAAGTAATATCTATCTTGGCGCAGCTTGGCACGTTACAGTGAAGTGGTTGGCTCGCTCTCCGGTCTGCCGCTGTCCGCATCGTCCACTGGCCCCGAGAGGTGAATGTCCACCGCGGGCCGCTTGCCCATCCAGGGCACGAAGAACATGATGACGCCGGCAAGGATCAGCAGTGCACCGGCCAAGTAGAAAGGGATGTCGTAGCTGCCGGTCCAGTCATAAATGGAGCCTAAAATTGCATAATAAATAGACACTTAAAATAACATAAAAATATATAATAAATATATACCTAAAATTGCATTAAAATATATAATAAATATATATGCCTAAAATCGCTGAAAATATATGTTGTTGTTGTTTCTTATCCCACTTGGCTGGCCAAGCTCACGAGCCCATACGTACTCATGATTGAAGGGGAAGGAAGCAGCTTCTGTTTTGATGGAGCACCCCGTAGGTAGAAGTCTGACTTTGACTCCGTGACGCTCTTAGAGTCATAGGAGACTGGGACCCACGGCTTAAAGTGGATTCCGAACCACTACAAACATCCATGGCACCGCCGGGATTTGAACCCGAAACCTGTGACACAGAGCGCTAGACACTCGGCCATTCAGGTCCCAAATTTGTGAATGCCAACGGCACACGGTGTTCCCACCCAAGTACTGACCGCGCCCAATGATGCTTGACTTCGGTGATCTAACGAGAACTGGTATATTCAGCATGGTATAGCCGTTGACTTAAATATATAATAAATGTATACCTAAATTGCCTAAAAATATACAGTAAATAATTACTTAACATTGCTTAAAATATATCATAAATAATTACTTAACAATGCTTAAAATATATAATAAATAACTACTTAACATTACTTTTAAATATATAATAAATATATATCGAAAATTGCTAAAAATATATATACATATATATAGTTGCATAAAATATGTGTAATAAATATATATCTATGATTGTAGCATTTTATTCCCGGGAGAGAGGAATGCATATTGTTTAACAAGTACAAAATAACAAACCATCACTCAAATTTGACAGCAGATGAGCAGTGTTGTGAATAGTTATTTTACATGTAATTAGTGTTTGTGCTAATGAGAACAACCTGTCACTCAAATCTGATAGCAGATAATCAGTGCAATAGATAATGAGACCTCATGAAATGAGCGATTGTCTGTTCGACCTTCACGAGTCGAAACAATTACAGATGAAATATGGACTACTACCTGATGAGTTACATCGGGATTGGAGATACACCATGGCTGAGGAAATGTCGACTCCAATGAGAAGTGAGGAAAGTTGACCCCCTTCAGACGGATTTTCTTAAAGGGAGGTTTTTTGGAGAAGGAGCAGGAGAGTGTTCTGCGACGTGTCGACAAAAAGTAACTTTTTTCTTTTTTCTATTTCTGAAATGGATTGAACAGGCCGGAGTTTCTGCCTGTTTACAAAGTGAGCCCCTTGTGGTTTCTTCTACCACGCCGTGTGATAATTGACGCAGACTAGCGATTTAGATTCGTCGTAGACTACAGAAACCTGAAAATCTCCGTCCTTCGAGTGAACTGCACTTGCAAATCAAATTTAATTTTTTTATTATTCATAATTTTGTAAATATTATATATATATATAATATTTACAAAATTATGGCATGTAATGAAAATTAATATATATATGGCTTGTAAATGAAAATTAAAGTGTTCTCATGAACCTGAAAGTGGCCATCTTGAAGGTGTTATAGGTCTGATATAGGCCGAGCCGTTGCAATGCCAATGCCAAAACTCCATACTTCTAAAAGGACTAAATACTCTTAGAAGAGTTTTATTGGGAAATTATGCTCTTTCTAACTTTGTTCCAACACATTACCATCTATTTAGAAAAAGACAAAACCAAATGAATTTGATTAAAAAAATTCAGGAAAACTCACTGGGAAGAAGTCATTGAAAAGTATGTATGTCTTGAAAATTAAATAAATATATTTTAGGCTAAATTTTAAATTTTATTTCTATCGGCAAAACACAAAAAAACTTTCGTTTTTACATGATATTAGCATTACGCGAAATTTAATTTAGAAAAATACCGATATAAAATTTGAACCACCTTTTTGTTTTTGAAAAATGAGAGTTAAATTGAATACATAAGTAAGAAGAAAATACATAAATAAGATGGCGAAACATATTTTTTTAGGGGGAATTTTAAGAAGGTAAGCAATGTTTACGCGAACGAAAGAGGCTACGGAGACCTCAACCTGTCTCTTAATTATGCGTTTGATGTCTCGCAGAGCATCCTACTGGCGTGTTTTGACTTTCCCCTGAAACGTGAACAGTGTCAGTGCCAATATTCGAAAACAAAGGATTGTTAATCTGATCACGACGGTAGGGGAAAAAGGGAAAACAATGATAAATAAAAATCCCTACATCATCCAGAACTTCATTTTACTAATTTTCCTTATTAAAACGGCTTAACATATTTTGCCTTTCAATCAAATATTTTTAAATTAATAATTTAAAACCCTTTTTTTTATTAAAGACAGAATTTTAACCTTATGAGGGATAACCTTTTTATATCGAAACTTTTTTTCCTTTTTTGGAACTTAATTTTTTATTACGATTTATTCATTTTATATTCATCATCAATCATCAATAGCTCGATAGCCCAGAGTGGGCCAAAGCTTTTCCTTTGAAGAGATTTCCATACATTCCTCTGGGTGACAATGGCCATCCAATTCTTAACCTTTAGTGCAGCAAAATCTTTTTCAACTGCGTCTATCCATCGCAAATTGGATCGTCCTCTTTGTCCCCGTGGCTTTGCCAAAACGAGCCTTTTTACAGGGTTTAAGTCATTCATTATAAATATTTTATATTGATAGGAATGCAGAAAAAAGGGAAAGACAACAAAAATGCACAAAAAGGCCATAACATCCTAGTAGAGGCTGGCCGTTAATAGAAATTTATAAAGTGAAATGATTTCATACATTCCGGGTATAAATAATTCATTATTATTCCGGGTATTATTTATTAAAATGAGATATAATTTATGTTTTTTTTATTTATGATACTAATTATTTTTTTGTTCTAATGCAGCTGGCACACACTTAGACAATTGTCGTCGATGCCTTAAGGCAAGCGCTGCACAGACGTTATTCACTTAACACTGCCCAGGTGGTGCGTGCAGCTAAAAGATAAGCTATGGACGCGGATTTGCAGTACCCCCGATACACTCTACGATCATAATAGACCAGGGCCTACGGTTTAAAGTGGATTCCGAACCACTACAAACATCCATTTCACCGACGGGACTCGAACGCGAAATCTGTGGTACCGAGTACCAGAGTGCTAGCCACTCGGCCATTCAGGCCCCCATGATACTAATTATAATTAAAAAAATGAAAAGTCCACATATGTGTTCAAAGGTTAAATATCTTTAAATTCGTGTATGATGTAAAATTGAATCTTATATGCGTCAAGAAATTAGTTTCATTGGTATCCCAGTGGTAATGCGGGGACTTTTATACTCCTCATTATATTGGAGGATTATGGTTTGACTTCAGCTGGTGGCATGCCTTACAACCATTGTTTTATCATCATCATCATCATAAATGGTACAACAGCCCCATGATGAGCCAAGAAATTCTGCCTGCTGGCAGATTTCTAAACGGGAAATTGACCGGGACCTACGGTTTAAAGATCATTGTTTTAAGACTTGGAAAATTATGTTACATACGATTCGCTTCTTTAAGTATAATAGAAAAAAAAATGTAGTTAAAAAAACAAATAAAAAATATAATTGATATAAATGTTTTATTATTTGTTTTGAATTGTATGATAATCCAATGTAAAAATAATTAGTCAAATTGTTCCTATGGATCTTTCTTTCAACCCATGCTTAAAAAAATGGTTCGTTCACAAATATGTGTTGACCCAAACCGGCCAGCGTATTTTTAACACATTAATCAACAACAGACACATCTACTGCGTTTAGCTCAAATTTTAAATGGAACCTTTTTTTGGCAGTTATCATCGAGATAAAACAAATTGCGTAAGTAAAGATCCAGCATTCTGGAGGAGCAAGATATGATCGAAATAGAAAGATATGATCTTCAACTATGTAATAAAATAGAAAACACTGGATTAAATATTTATCTAATATTTAGAAGCTAATTTCTTCTACTAAATTATTGTATCCTGTTTCATGAAATATTTAAATTTTTTTAAAATATAATTGGTATTTGTTTTTTAAAAGTAAAATTGACAAAATTATTTCTTGGTCATGGTCTATGCATAATTACTTTAAGCAGAAATGATGTAGATTTTAACAGTTGGTAATCTAGTCGGAATTTCTAAATTTGATTTGACGCAGAAATATACATTCGCCTGGAAGTCCTTTTAAAAGTATTTTTTTCTACTCTATAAACTTCATTTCTAGTCTATAACATTAAAGTCCATGTCCTTGAGTACGACGTTGATCCACTGAACTGGAGTTCGTTTGCTATTATAAAAAAAATCTACAAGATTATTGGGTTCGTGAGCCACGTATAAATATGGAATTATCTTTGTATTGCTAATAACAATAATAAATAAATAATTGGGAGAATTCTTGAATAACTTCTTGATTTACAGTAACTAAAATTATTAGTTTCAATTGTGAGGCAAGAAGTATAAAGTTTATTTTTTAAAGGAATAATAATGGGAAAATCCATTATTCAAAGTCAAGTATGGATAAATTCATTGTTCAGACACAATAATAGAAAAGCATTATTCAAAGTCAAGAATGAAGAAGGCCATTATCAAGAATGGAAAAGAATCGAGAGGGGAAAAGTACATTATTCAAAGTCAAAAATGGGAAAAATAAGTCCAAAATCGAAAAGTCCATTATTCTGTCAAAAAGGGGGTGAGGAAGATCCGTTATTAAAGCCAAAATCGAAAAATCTATTATTCAGTCAAAAATGGAGGGAGAGAGGGAGGTCCGTTAGTAAGGTCAAAATCGAAAAGTCCATTATTCAGTCAAAAAAAAAAAAAAAAAAAAAAAAGGGGGATCCGTATTAAGGCCAAAATCGAAAAGTCGGTAAAAAAATGAACGTGCATTATTTATCGTGAAGAAAACAAAGGCGTATTATTCATAGTCAAAGAAATGTCCATTATTAAAAAAAGTAATGTCTATAATTCTAAATAAAAGTTGTTAAAGTCCATTATGCAAAATCAAAACGTCTAAATTCACTGGCTGCATTCACTAAGCTGAATTCATTTGGCTATAGTAAATTCACCGGCTGAAATGATGGAATGGTGACAAAACAGCACAACGGTGACGTTAGGTATCAGGAGGAACAAAAATGCCCACATAATAATGTATTTAAAATCCTGTAGAGACTGTAGAGCAGTAACTAAAAAAGTACAAAATTATAATTACAATATAGCATATTGAGAAGGACCAATACCAATAACAGGATAAAGAGAAACGATTACAAAAATGAGTTTTTAAATGTTTCCTGCATTAATTTTTTTAAAAGACGAAAACACAAATAAAACTTGATAAACAAAATCCTTAAATATTAAACATTATTGAAGTTAAACACTGTATGTTACTCACTTGAAGTTAACACACAAGTTTCAAAATAGTGGTAAATGATTTTTAAAAAATCTTATAAATTTATCAATATTTCAGTTTTCTTAATGTATGTGGGTTACACATCATCTGATGCGACATCTTGGACTGATGCTACAATTGATTGTCG